GCACATAAGCTTGAAGTATGGAAGTTATCGTCACTGCCTTCTCGTGGCTGTGGTGTTGTTTACGAAATTGAAAGGACGAAAAGCGGATGTCCGGCGCTTTAACCGGGTTGGTGGACACGGAGTCCACCTAAAGGAGTTGGAAAACCCTCATTCCAAATACTTGGTGCACATGGGCTGGCTCCAGTATCCTGAGGGAACAAATGGCGTATGAACCAATCGTTGGTCACCGGCTACCATGGAACTGCATCATCTAACTTTTCTCAACTGCCTTGTGGATCAGACGTTTATGTCAAAGGCTCCGAGTGTGGCCATCTAATAAAACCACCTGCTTCGATTTGGGCACCCATACAGTATCCTAGCCCTCACACAAATCGAATGATTATGTGGCGCATATGTATTTGGTGCCTCCTTGTACCAGTATTTATGTGTTCAAATGAAATGAATGTCGTCTATGGTTTTGGGACAAACATGAATTCATTAAGCTTTAAACCTTATCTGTGTAGGGTCAGTCACACGTACTTTGCTACAAATCACTTGATTTCATGATATTGACTAGGGTGATGATCGTCCCAATCTCTCACATTATCCGAACATCCCATGTACCTATATTAATGATAGCTCTAGTTTTGTGGAAGGTTATCGGCTTTATGACTTTCAAAGAATCTCAGCTTGCACCATAGAGCATCATAACTCTTCTATATGAAAGTGATCCTTCAACTGTTAGGCAGATTTTAAATTAGATTTCATTCTGGTTTGTTTATTCTAGCAAGGTTCGCTATCACATATTGGGGTTGCTAACCCTACATCAATTCCTTCTACCTTGCCTGGATTTGGGACCAGCAGTAATTCTAGACGGTCTCCAGGTGAAGTCAATTTAATGGAATAATGCTATATAATGACCCAATTGACTTGATGTTTCTATTATCACTTTCGGTTTTTTCATGCGATTAACTTATGTTGAATTAAATTTTTGACTTCAATTAACAAGCCAATCATATTTTACTTACACATTCAAATTAATAGGACCTAACCATTCAATAAGAGTTTACTTCATTTCAATGTTAAAAACATTATTTAATCATTCTAAACATAGATCGATGATGGCTAGGAGTGGAATCCAAGACCCGAGCCACTTCGTCCTATCTGGAACTTGTCAGATGAATATAACTCCATCCCAGAGTTGATGTTCACTGCAGGACTCGAATCCAATAAGAGACTGATCAATTGTAGACCTAAACATCAATGGAAAGATATAAATAAACAATACGAAAATAAATGATTATTTAATCAGTCTAAATGAATTTCTTAAAATTAATTAACTCATTAATTGGTCTTCACAAAAAAACAATTTAAATTATATCCGTATAAACTCGTTATTAAATAACATTTCTGTCAACATGTACTCCACATGATAATTGATTAGGACTTGGCGGCCTGCTTGAATATTTGAGCTACCTGTTCCTGTCATCTAGATATTTCAACAAGTTATCTGTTTTCTTGTTTGCTTTAATACAATTATTATGTCTATTAATCGTATAACCTATTCAGTCACTTTTATGAAATGCATACAACCTTTCACTGTAGAAGTTACAAGAATGTACAATCAGAGATATCGTAGTTGCTAACAGTAGCATGCAATAAAAAGAATGAACATTATTCAGTTATCGATTCTTGAACAGCTGTGGTGTGGGTTACTTATATCCATATCAGTAGTATGTAACGGTGGTCAGACAGAATGTATTTCAGCAGATCGATAAGGAAAGAACGGAAACGGTACACAAGTGGTATGAAAATGCATGAGCAATAAAATCTGAGACAATGGATTGATATTTGTAGAAGGAACAGTGAAGTATGAAACGATGGATTGATATTTTGCACATTAACGATTTACTATATGGTTCTCAGATTTTAGTGAGAGGTTCTGTAATTTTGTGCTCAAATACATTAGATTGTCCCCACTTGTGTTCTGTTCACTACATTTGATGCCGCTGCTAATCAGGAGGGGGAAGGGTGGTGTTTCGTGGACGCCGTTGCTGGCCTTCAGTTGATGTGCCGGTTGGGGTAGTCTTGTGCGGAGAGGTGACGTCCAGTGGAGTGTTCTGGCGGAGCGGCGTTGGATGTAACCGGTGCTGTCGATGGATAGGAGCGGTAGGATGTGAGGATTCTTGGCGGACATCGGATGTAGATGGCTCAACAGGCCTCTGAATTAACTACTTCTATGAATCCGGTGTTCATCTTGTTGTGCTAATGCGGTATGGCAACTTGGATCGATGCATATACGTGCCTGTTCCTACGTTGCAGCTGACTGACTGACTGAGACGTTGGACGTCGCAGGTGCCGGGAGGGTGTCGGATGTTGATGCCCCGGCAGGTCGACAGAGCTATGGACGTCAGCGCGCCGCAGATTCGACATTTTGACAGAGAGTATGATTAAGAAATGAGAGAAAATGAGACTTATTATAATACTTTGTTATAAGAATTCTATATTGTACCAAAGATATAATATTAAATAAAACCATTAATAATAATAATAATTCATAAATAATAAGAATTTTCCAATTCTGTAAAACAACCGTTTATACTATTACGTAAGAGAGAGAAATAGTGAATATTTCTATTTCATTGCTTAGTTGAATGAGTTATTTAATTACATCAGAGAAAATTTTTTTATGACTTTCTAAATTTATAGGTTTAAGTGAAATGTTTTATTGTATACATTGTATAATTAATCTTTTCCTTAAATGACTAGGGAAATATGTTTGAGATGTATTTGCCTAAACTCGTATATAAGGAAAGTAATTGAGGAATTTAAATACTATATTTATCTTTTGAGTTGAATCAGTTTTGTAGATTGTTAGGTCACAGAGTCTAGATACAAAAAACAATAATGTTGATTCTCTTTTTCAAACTATACCTCCAAATGTCCTGGTACGGACGAGAGTGGGAAGTCCGTTCTACTTATCGAAATACTCTCACATGTCCACGCTTATATAGCCTCTGCCAGGGAAGTCCTACTCACTGCGTTCTCTCGACAGGCGTGTTGTTTACGAAATTGAGAGGACAAAAAGCGAATGTTCGTTGCTTTAACTGGGTTGGTGGACACGGCGAGTCCACCTAGATACTCACGCCTGTTACTCTTAATAGAGCATAGGCCACCGACCAGCGTTTTCCAACCCATTCTGTCCTGGGCTTTCTTTTCTAGTTCCATCCAACTCTTGTTCATTTTTCTCATGTCTATCTCTATTTTCCGGCGTAATGTGTTCTTTGGCCTTGAGGATTCCGTGTGAGGGCTTGTCCTGTGACACAGTTGTTTGGAGTCCACCTAGGGGAGTTGGAAAACCCTCATTCCAAACCAATGGTGCACATGGGCTGGCTGCAATATCCTGAGGGAACAAATGGCGTATGAACCAATCGTTGGTCACTGGCTACCATGGAACTGCATCATCTAACTTTGCTCAACTGCCTTGTGTATCAGACGTTTATGTCAAAGGCTTCGGGTGTGGTTCCCTAATAAAACCACCTGCTTCGATTTTGGCACCCATGCAGTATCCTAGCCCTCACACAAATCAAATAAAATTTGTGTGGTGCATATGTATGTGATGCCTCCTTGTACCAGTATTTATGTGTTCAAAGAATAAATAAATAAATTTTCAAACTATGATTCTTGTATAATATCTGGTTCATCATAATATAGATACATTCTTTATTATTTTTCGAATGTGCGACAACTTCAGGAAGGCGGTGACACCCATATTGGTTGCATGTATTTAATCACAAATATTTATTTTGTAAATCTTACGAATATTGGTCAATGAATTATGCCGATATTTTTTAGCGTTGAGTTTTTGGAAAGTGAAGTTAACCTTTGAGATGGTGAAGATTTGTTGCTCAGGTGAATGGTTTTGATGGAATTTTCTTCTCTAAGCTGGATGGTTTATTCGTGGAGCACTCATCGTTCTTTTGAGAACGACATCATCAGCAAAAAAATTCGAACACTTCACTTCTACCTGATGTTTGTGCTAACGATGTCGTTCAGAAGAACTATGAAAGCTCCACGACTAAACCATTCAGCTCAGAGAACAAAACTCCATCAAAAAAAGAATTTAACTTTTGATGACACTGAAATGCTTGTCACTGCTTATCCAGAAATGATATTTTTGGTACAATAGTAGTATGTTAGTTTATAAGGCTAGAATAATACGTAACATGTAGTTATTGACTATTGGTTTTAGCCTGTTGGAACTCATAATTGTTGAACTTTATCATAAGTTCTAAACATTGAACTCTTTGGAAACTGATTTCTATATCGACTCTTAGACTCCCACAATCTTCAGCATTTAAAACCCGAACTAAAACAAAAAAGGAGACATACTAAGTAAACATTACTTCCAATGTTAGCCCAATTACATAAAATAAAAGGGTGTTCACAGAGTTACAACCAATCTTAAAATTTTTAGAGGCTTTTCAACATAATGTAGTTGCTTTCTGAATATTTTTGAGATGTTTTCCAATTAGTTTTTTGTTAATAAATGTTATTGATATAGGAGAGTTTATGGAGATTGCTACATTTCTTTCGTTGACATTACGAACTAGCCATACAATCATTAAAAACCTGGTTGAACTAGACAGTTGTTTCGTCCTAATATCAAACTCTTCAGGAGTTTGATCCCCGACAAGGTTGTGGATTCACACTGCTGAATAGTCCCTATACTAGGAAGAAATAGCTACTTAGTGATTCCTAGTTTTATAAAATCAGTATGTAATGTTCACTAGTCAATATTTTAGTTCTTTCTTTTATTGTCTGATTGATTATTATCACTTTTAGTTTGCTAATTACAGAACATCTCAAGGTTAATGTATATTGCTTTAAGGCAAAGTTGTTTGATTATGAGCTTGTGTACATGTTTTTTTTTCTTCAAACAAATGAATATATCTTCATAATTGATTATCAATGTAAAATTCATTTCTTTCTCTCATATTCTATCCATTTTGTTTTGCTAGATTGATCATAGTGTACTTATGGAAACACAAATTCAAAATCTCACTGTTACACCAATTATACTTGAACGTGTTTTATTTGAATCAAATCCTCAATTCAGTGTGGTTGATTTAAATAATTTACAGTTCGGTAAAAAGTAATTTTTCCTTTTCTTTTATTTGTGTTCTTCTTTTACAAATTGATTTGATTAACATTCATGATTGATTGACAACAAAGTATTGTATTATGTATTTGTTATTTCTTTTGAGAGATATTTCTAGGAATATGCATTTAGGTGGGATAGATATAATATAACTAGCAGTACAGTCCAGGAAGCACGTGTTTCCCTATTCGATACTTGTTAGATAGATGCACTTGCATCCTAGAGTTGATACGTATTCCAACACTCGAGGTTATTATCGTTCGCTTCAAATGCCATCGCGTTATCCACCTAGCTATTGATTTCAAACAGCCGTTTACTTGTGAAACAATTATGTGTTTAAATTCAACTTGTAATGGATTGGAATTATTCCTTTGTCGATATTTTTGACTGAAAGTTTGTCAGTCTTGGCTGATATATGTGCATTCTGTGCGAGTCACCTCGGTATAGCCGTGATGGCAAAAGTTAGTAAGAAACAAATAGAATATGGTTAAGTGGGTAACACATTAGCTTTGAAGTGAACGGTACTGGATTCGAGTCTTGACGTAAATATCAATACTGGAATGTAAGTAAATCCAGCTAACGAATCTCAAGCAGGGCAAAACTTACGTTATGGATTACACTGCTAACTTTAATCCATCTATTTTATGCTAGCTTGTGTTATAATGGTTATATCGTTATTTGATGAATGACTCTGTCTGCTAAGCAGTGTGGAGTTTTATGGTTATTATTAACTCCCACAGATTGACGTTATTTATACAATCATTGAGAACCAGAAAGTACTTGATAGTTGTCCTCTCCTGGTACGGAACGTCTCAACAGTGGACATCTAATGTTCCACTAGTGATCGAAGCCCCTTCAGTCATTTATGCATTTTGCAGTTGCGTGATATTATAGAAAATAAATCCTATATCAAGTATCATTTTAGGTCGTACAACTCACTCTGTACTATGTAGTCATAAATTGATATTCAGTAGTTATGATACCATTCATTTAAGTCGACTGTAACATATATAGATGATAATAATGAAGTGCCTGTAGTATTTATTCACTTTTATATGTTTGCCTCATTTCTCAGATCTCATTCTAATACTCCAACGTATTATTTACAACCGAATGATGTACAACAATTTTTATACCGTTTAATACCGACAACAACCAATTCATCGCCTTTGTTAAATCTATCATCTACCAATTCATCAATACCAACTTCAACTGTACCTGATCCAATTCCAGTTTCTTCCAAAACTACTCGTCAAGTGTCAATATCAGCAGGACGTTTAGACATTACATGGAGATCACTTATGGGTGAAAGAGGACGCTTACAAACAAGTTCTTTAAAATACGAAGTTAGTTCAATAGTTTTGGATGAATTATTGTTGTAATTAGTAAAGAATAAATGTAATGTGACGAGTGGTGGGATCTGGGATGTACGTTTCGTCCTTTTTTAGATCCGCCAGCTGAATATACTTCCATCCCAGGCTTGATGTTCACGTCCCAAATAGGATTAAACACTCCTTCTTGATTCCACCACTTATCATAATCCATTTATTCCATACTAAATTGTGTCATAATGATTATATCGAAGCAATCCATGTATAGTATGGACGTATGCCAAAGAAGATCGACCTAATTTTCGTCAAAAATATGAACAACGGGATAATTCAATCCATTCCGAATTGAATAACTGTGATACGTTTTCATGTATTATCAAATTAATGGATTATATGAATAAGTAAACTTGTTACTGTTGATTTCTTTCTTTCTTCGATTTTCATTATTTAATGTGAACTATTCATTAATTCTTATCATATCACAATGCAGAGTTATGAACGAAGAATATTCTAATGACAGTTTGTTGTATTTTTACTATTTAAATAAAACAATTAAATTAGTATTGGCTGACATAAAACATTCAGTGAAAAATCCATTTTGACCAAGTTGAAATTAGATTTAAACAAGCTATTCATGACAATAATTCAATGAAACTTCATCTTACAGTTCAATATAAACTATGATATTCTCACCGCTATACTTCACTATAGCTAGTTCTAATCATTCACTGAATTAGTTTTTGCATAATTCCTCTTGTGTATGCAATAGGTTTCATAATGGTTTAAAAACTTCAATTGATAAGTTCCATCCATGCTAGAAAAGCCGTACAGAATTAGCATCTGTCGGTCTTTCACGACACGCTGGTTGGGGTTATACAGAGATTACAACTCAGTAGTTTAAGATATTATCGAACATAACTTGGAATTGAAAGTACTAACAGTTCTATTGTAATTTTCCCTTTATAAAAGTAAGAGGACCTTTCCGGTTGTATTCGTTTTAAATTGAACTGCTTCTCCCATTATTTTTTTTACTCCTATCCACTTCTTTTTGTTCACTTATTGGTTTTTGTTATGCTCACTTTCCTTTCTGATTTTCTTCACCATCTCATTATCTTATTATTTGGTGCATATATATGTATTTTGGTGCCCATTTGTACGAATATTTATATTTAAATGTGCATAATATAATTCAACGTCAAATAACATTTAACACTCAAATTTTATTTGATAACATCTGTTCCGTTTTGTAAGCTGGAAGAAAGCTAAGGGCGACCAAACCAAAAGATGACATCCGTTTATGAAGTTACTGACAATTGAACTTGTTATAACGTGTGACCGCCGATTAGAGGGCAGTGACTTATCGATCGGGCCAATGACGCGTAAAACACGTGTGAGCAGTCTAGAATCTTGATTGGTCCTGCTTTCCGCCTAGCCCAGTCAGTTAAATCCAGAACACCAATCCGAGCCTCTGCGATATGAATCATTATATTTCAAACATACTGAGTTTGTATACCAACCAAACAGACCACAACGTACCAATAAAATATGAAACAACATTTGTACAAGATTTAACCAGATGTGGCTATGAATGAGTGAGTTAGTGATTAATATACTGGGTATAACTCAAGAATGGTAAAACGTATAATAATAGTTTATGGGTCGAAATAAAGCTTATAATAAGAGGAACATGAATATGCATAATTTAATTACTTAATAATTATACAGTAGAAATATAAGTTTAGTATTGGTCCATAAATGTATCCTAAAAGTTACCATTCATTATTCTTGTAAGGACATAACAGAACTTAGCCCTTTTTATAAGTACAGACTACCTGGTTGGGTTCCACGTGATTATCGTAACCAATCGTTAGACTTTGAATGACATCGCTGAAAGTCTTTTATCTTCTCCGAAATTCTCAGATCCTTAATCTTTCATCATTGTTTTTTGTTTTTATTTCGTTAATTTACATTTTATTTTTGAGTTCTATCTTCGATGCCTAATCTTTCCGATTACCACTGATATTGTTACTATTTCCACTATTTTGGGATTTGGCTTTACAATTTCATCTTGGTGTGCTAATGAGATATGGCAACTTGGATCGATGTGCATACATGTAGGTTCTACATTGTGACTGATTGATTATTTCAGCATAACTGAACTTCATTTTGTTATTACTCAATAAATATTGATGTAAATATATTCTGTCTTGATTTTTATCAAACAGATGAGATTGCTCTGGTTTTCTTATTTTGAAACGTAGTTGTTATATAGGTGTTCAAGTGAGAAAGTAAAGCTCTCGTTTTGCCAAAGATAACCTCACGATCAAGCTAGAAGTATAAAATTATGATATAATCGATAGTAACAAATGTTTTGAGACGGAATCCTTACTGTCCAATAGATCAAAAACAACTCAATTATAACTTATGTAACGTAATATCTCTACTTGAAACTCATAATGGATTAACAATGAAATTGGACAAGATTTTTTTCAAATGAAAGCACTTTTTTTTCTCTTTTTCATATCTTTTCAGCTTCCTACTTTTGGTGATATTCAGCTAAGGGTTTTAACTATTCCATCCACTGTGAAAACAGAACAACCATTCACATTAAAGTTTGAATTAACTAATTGCAGGTATATCATATACTTTATTATTTTGAATAGTAGTTTAACTTTTGTCAATTATAACTACTGAAAATAATATGTACGTTGATGATATGAAATATTCCTTATTGATTGATTGCATCAACTAGTGTTCACCGGGATTATTCACTTAATTTAATTATTTACAACTATCAGTCATTTTACTTCAGATGTGTATCTCTTTCCGGTCCGTTATAATCACTTTGATAGACGTTAACTAATCGATTTAAAGTACGTTGACTCTATATACATAGATATGCCTTTATGTAAATATCTATTCAAAAAGGGCTAATGAAAAAGAGCCCCTAATAATAAGAGTGATCATCAAAAACTTACTTACTTACTTACTTACTTACGCCTGTTACTCCCAATGGAGCATAGGCCGCCGACCAGCATATAAATAAATGTGAGCATTGAAAAGAGGAATAACATTTTTACTCATGTGAAATATGTCCAGTTTTCTATTTGTTCCTTTACTCTACGATTAACGCCAAAAAAGTAATTTACTAAACCCTTTGATGAAGAGTCTACCTGTAACAAATACTGTAGTTGTCCCAATGTAGTATGAAATTGTTTTTTTTTATTACTTTAGTCATGTTATGTCTCGTATGTATATTTCGAACAACTAGCCGATAGTCTTTTTAGAGGGATATATCGAAGATCCTTGCGGAAAAGATATAGTTGGTGAATTTCATCTTGAATAAGTTATAAGTGCTAGAAACATACCTTTCTTTTAAAATTAAAACGTCATACTTGGTATTGTTCATTATATGTATTCCAGAAAACTGTTCTTTGTACTATTCCGTGGAACTTTATGAACTTTTATTATATAGATTGTTGACATCTATGATTATAAGAGTTAAATGTTTAAGATAATCAATTTTTTGACCGATCTCTAAACTCTCGTTAATTTTTTCCAACTAAACTCTGAAACGAAACAAAAAAAACGTGGGAATTTGAAGAAAGAATAAAAGGTTTACTTCCAGAATTAGTACGATGACGGCAAACAAAGTATCATATGATTCATTTTATATTGGTTGTTCGGATCTTCCCACTGATGTTTAGGACTGAAATGGATCAATCTCTTATTGGCATATGTGCATTCTGTGCAGATCGCCTCGATATTGCATTAAGTCACAAATATTTTTAGCAGAGATACATGTTGGCTAGTAATGGAATCTAGGACTCACGTTTCGTCCTATTCGTGACTCATCAACTGAAGCGTCCATGTAAATTGAAATTTCCTGAATAGACATTGATTGGGGTGAAATTATTTTAGACACTGTACACAACTCCCTTAAAACAATTTTTTGTAAATATTTCAAACTTAATATAATTGCATTCTGTTCTGATATATTATTGATATGTAGATGAAATATTCCCAGACTCTATGAATTATTAAGTATGTATTACCCGAGATTAGCTTTTCTATAAATTACTTTTAAGATTACAATTGTTATATCACTATCTAAACGTATTGATTATGAAATAATTCAATAATTATATTGAGTTATGTTGAACTGTTATGTTTTTCTATATATGGTGTAAAAGTTTCTAATACAATTGAATGAATTTACCACATGAATTATAGAATATGTAATAATGTTATGAAATAGAAAGGGAAAATGTCATCCAACCAATAGAGGTAGGTAAGGAACGACAGTGTTCAGTAAATAAAATGCATTTCAATGAGGAAGTCAGTCAGCTACAACGTAGGATCAGGCACATATGTGCATCGGTCCAAGTTGCCATACCGCATTAGCACAGCAAGATGAACACCGTATTCATAGGAGTAGTTAAGTCAATGGTGGATATATATAAAAGAAAGATTACATATAAGGATATAATACGCGAAGAAAGAATTAGTTGGTAGAAAGAAAGATATGAAATGATTGTAATCTCATAGTTTAAGGGAAGATAGAGAGTGTATACACCTACGCCATTGTGATCGACTCTGAACCATGTCACCCAGAGTCTCTATTCAATGAGGAAAGTAATTTTCATAAATTTCTTTCAGTTAAGAAGATTCATTTTAAATTTTTGAAGAGTGTAATAGAAACATGTCGACGGATTATTACTTGTTTTGACTGTGAGATAACTTCCTGATAATTTTCTAAGTCTTTGAGTTACTTTTTTTGAAAGTCCCCACTTAATGTGTTGTAATGGACCAGTGAATGTCAATCCTCCACAATTATTATTTGATGTTATAAGTTGAATTCATTCACTTTTTCCATCCGGTTCAAACATCAATACTCACATTTTCAATTTTCTCGTTTCTTGTTCTCTAACTTCCTTACTCTAACCACCACCTACCTCGACGCATGATGCTGGCTGGTGTCATAGTAGGTTGGAATAAGGCTAGTAGCAACCAAACTAAAACATGACGTCGATCTCTGAAGTCACTGACATTTGAACTTAAGTATGTAAATAGATATGGACTACACCTAATTAGGGTGACATGGCTTAGAGTCAACCGCAATGGTGTTCTTGCATTCATTCTATATCTCCATCTAGATCCTGAGTTTCAAAATTACCTCATTTTTATTCCATAGACTCATTCTTTCTTCTGGAATCATATTGTCGATGCGTAATTTTCTCTGCTGCTATTATGCTCCTAATTCTTACTACTCTAGGATTTATAGTGATAATTTAATTTCTCTATCTCAACATGGTATAACAAATCGATTTGATGCATATCTAAACAACAAATCAATTGACTATTCCTTGACTTCCCCTCTCGTTCAATTATCATCTTTCACACAATTCATTTGCCTATCATACATAATTTAACTTTTGTTTCCTTTTTGGTGTTTGTTTTTTATTGCCCATACAGTAAAATAAATTTAGACTTGATCCTTAGTTTATGTTCAACTAAATATAATGGTTCTTCTTCTATTCCAATTCAATCAATCATTAATGATAATGAAAATACCTCTAATAATGATAATAATTCAATTCAATTATCAAATAGTTATTTACCATTAATTGTTTGGTTGAGTAAAACTAGACAAAAACTTGGCAAATTATTACCTGGTCAATGTATTCCATTTGAATTGAATTTAATGGCTACATTACCTGGATTACATGTAAGTGAAGTACAGATTGGTAAATTAAAATGTGTAGTTTTGTTGTTCTCTATGATTTCTTTTGGTTGCGATATTAAAGTGTTAGTCGTTTGTTGTTGTTGTTGTTGTTGTTGTTGTTGCTCTTACCTATTACACATATCTATGAAGGTCATAACATTTTGTTTTAATGAAATCGATAGAATATGATCTCTTAAATACATATGTACTACATTACATAAAGTTCATTAGTAATATTTATCCTCCCACCCCCAATACTGGATACATTTCTATATCTAATCCCCTCTGTTTCTATAAATGAATTTGGTGTTTTTGGTACATTTTTATTGACTTAGTTCATATTGAAGAATCAATATGTAATCCCACCTAAAAATAATTTATTCTCATTAAAATATTAATGAAATATCCGAGAATTTTAAGAATAACAGATAGGTCTAAAATTATTTAGGACTTAATTGTTAATATCAGAAGGGGTTTTGTGGATATTATAGTAATTTTAATAGTTAAAATCATGAACCAATTGAAGGCTGACCATCATGGAAAACATGGAAGCACTGGACGGCCGTTTCGTCCTATTGTGGGACTCCTCAGCGGTGCGCATCCACGATCCCGTCTCGCGAGATTAGTTGGAAGTTAGACAATATACACCGTTGGATGCCGGTCGGTTAAGTGATCTAACGGTTAAGCACTCGCGCGCGAAACTGATAGGTCTTGGGTTCGAATCTCGCGAGGCGGGATTGTGGGTCCGCACTACTGAGGAGTCGCATAATAGGACGAAACGGCCATCAAGTGCTTCCATGTTTTCCATGGTGGTCTAGCTTCAATTGACTCATGATCTTAACATTTAATTGTGTTTATGTAATAAATAGTAAGACTGTGATAATTAGAGCAAAGGTAGTTTAGTTTTCAAAACATAATTGATATGGTTCACTTTTGATTGTTATCGTCGACTCGAAACTGGTTCTGAGTTCTAATCCTAGCATCATAAATCATTCATTCAGATTTAATTATTTTCTAATTGACTGAATGATCTAAGAGTTTGCTACAGCCGTTTAATGATTCGCTCAAGCTCACACTTGTCGTTTGACTTTGTCTGAATTTTTATTACGCTCAAATTGTCCTTCTGTAGTTATCAATAATGGAATTACATTGAATTAAAATCTTTAGTGAAAACCTCTTATTGATCACACAATGTCAACAACTGCTATCTTACACCAGTCCTATGTACGGTTAACTTTATCTTAATTCTACCTCAGTAAATCTAAGCTATTTGATGAGACTATCATTTATGGATGGATCAATCCGAATTAGTATAGTGAGTTTTGGATTTAGGTGCGAAGATTATATATCCATATGACTAAATAACATTTTGGCATTATAAATGATGTCAGTTCGTGATGAAAACTTTAACTCTAATTCCTATCCCCAACTTTTAACTGTAAATCCCAATTCTAATTTCTCACACTGATTTATAACCCTCATTTGACACCAGTAATAGACTGACTTTTTTTCAAGGTCACTTTGAGGTTTCCAACAACACAATCGCCATCATACACACTAACTAAGCCTACACAATCAACCATCATCTGACCTGATAACACACTCATCATTAATCACCGACTCCTATCACACTATACTAGATGAACACAACTAATTGACTAGTGACGATAATGCGTCGATTGTCGGCAGCATCAATTCAAGCTGTAATTAGTGATTATCATTGTATGTTGACTATTGTTGAATCAAATCACAGAAGTTGAATTCGATTCCAGTGTGTAGTGAATCATTGAATGTGCATGTACTGAGCACTCACTCAGGTATTACTTCCTCTTTCCATTAATATACTCGTTCACTTGTTCTTGTTGATGTGTGTCGACCTGCATCTATGAGTGTCTGAAATAATATATTCACTATTGGTTGGCATGTGAATCAGGCGTAAACGGTCGGCTATAGAAACGGTGTGGGTAAATTTTCATGGGCAACTCTATATCCTACTGAAATACAGTAGATCAGCGACAGTGTGTATGTTGTGAACGTATGGAATGTCTGAAATTGTGTTTACCGTGTGAATAGTTCAAATGTTTGATGAGAATATTGTGTGAAATGTATCTGGTCGTATTTATTGTTTGGTATCAGTGTGAGATGATTATTGTGTTTTATTGATAGCAGAAGTTGTGTGCAGAGTGTAATGTGTATGTATGGTAATGTAGTATTAGTGGTATATATTGCACTAATCGCCTGATTTTCGTAACTGTAGTGTCTCCTCAATCGCCGATAAATCTTTTGCCTTTTACTAAAGGTTAATTAAATATTCTCGTGTCCTCATTACTTGGACATTTAATTTCTTTTTTTAAAACATGTTTTAGAAGTGATGGTAAACAACAACTGAATTTAAACATGAAATTTTAACATTTTACCACATAACCTCAGGTCTTCTCTTTGTCGCCTACTTTTTCTCATTTACACTCCTCCAAATACACACACACATTGTTTCGTATTTAAATGTCAGCCTGACATCATTGTCAATTATCATTTTTCTTAATCTGATTAAATATGAAATGAATATTTGATGATATACTAGCATATGGTTTAAGAATACATCGTCAGTTTATTTGAAGTAAGCGTTTGTGTGAAATAACTACTAATAGTATGATCCTGTGAGGAAAATAATATTCAATCGGTTGTGTTCTTGACTACTATTTTGAGTTGCGTTAGGCCTGGGAGAAACATGAGTTAGTTCACGTTGAGATGAACCTCAACCAACGTAGTCTGCATCAGTCCGTCAGTCAGCTGCAACGTAGGACAATGCATCGGTCCAAGTTGCCATACCGCATCAGCACAAAAAGATGAACACTGATTCATAGAAGTGGTTAATTCAGTGGTGGTAATATATAAAAGAAAGATTGCATATAAGGAGATAGTACAGGAAGAAAGAATTAGTTGGTAGAAAGATGTGAAGCGATTTTAATCTCACAGTATAAGGGAAGAAAGATAGCGTACACACCTACACCATTGTGATCGATTCTCAGCCATGTCACCAAGAGTCTCCAACCATTGGTTACGATAGTCACACGGACCCTAACCAAGTAGTCTGCATCTACCTACATGGCTCAGACCAGAAGTTTGTGACTTCAAGCACTGATGCCATGTTTTGGTTTGGCCGCCCCTTTCTTCCAATCATCCCTAACACCGGTTAGTATTGCGCGTCGTGGTAATCGGTGTTCAGGCATACACAACACGTGGCCCAGTAGTCTGCATATATCGACATTGCTTAGAGCAACAATCACTAACTAATGCTACCTTTTAATTGACCGTTCGTTATAGCGTGATGACCAATAGCTTTTATTCTGAGCTATGTCTGATAACGTCTCTAGCTGCTGTGTTGCCCCATCTCTAGGACACCAACCAAGGAAGTCATGAACCAGTCCTGTACAGCTTTATTTCATACCATGAAACTATGTCAAACACTGACCATCTCTATGTTATTTTTCCAACCGTTCCCAGCGTCAGCAAATAATGCACAATTTGAAATTCGCTGGGACGACATTCGTAAGACATGTCCGAACCACCGAAGTCGATGACACCAGTTGAATTATCGTCGCTATCTCCGAACACACGACGTCGAACCTCTGCATTACTAACATGGTGTTGCCTTTCTGTACGGCGTTGCACATCGTTGCAGGGAATGGTTCAATTTGCGTAAAACACTTTAATCTACTTTAGCTTATTATCATAAAAGTTACTAGTTGGTAAGAATGTACTGACTCAGTTTTTACATTCTTATTTTACAGTCAGTTTGACGTACTTATCCGAGAACACTGATTATCTCGAATCCTATTGTTATCGCCGTCATCATCTATACCTATAATATGTATAATATCTATACAAAAGCTATGAATTCAATTCTTAACATTTTGCATAGTTTCAAATTATAAAAAGATTATGATAACAAAGTCACAGCTTCAATATTGAAATCATCATTCGGCTTTTAACTGCTACTACTAATACTGTGGTGGACGCTACTAACAAGAATGCTTGTAATTAGTATATAGCACAACGTTGCGTTGAAAGTTTCTTAGTCGTCAGACGAAGAGAAGAATTTCACTACATGGAAAAAGTGGCATAGGCAGAACACTTAATGACTAGACGAAGAGATAGTTTAGATTGTACAACACACCGCATGATGCAGATGAATGATTGAATGCTATGTACAGATACTATATAAATGCTTGGTAATTTTCCACAATAAATGTTGAATTCTATCCATTGGCTTGTTTTGCACCAGACGTACGACTACAAGCGGTAGTAGTAGTAGTAGTAGTGGATCATAGATTCGAACTGTGATCCACTTAGTTAAGTTTAAGCGACCAATCTCGCACACAATAGAAATGTGTGCCTATTCGTATCTACATTGCTGAATGTCGAGTAAATAAACTTGTATTGAATTACAAATTCAAGTGATGTACCATTTATTGATGATGATGATAATAATAATAATAGTCCTTTCTTTTGTTTAATGTTTTTTTTTCTCTCTCTTTGTATCAGATGATTTCCGGTTTATGCATTCATGACTTAACAATGAATCGTGATTATGAATTTAATAATTTAACCCATGTTCTTGTTTTTACCAATAGTGATGTTTCAGCTTGATTTCCCTCTTTCTTTCTCTCTCTCTCTCTCTCTTCATATCATCTTGATTAGTGAATACTATGCATAAAACTAATATGTCAATAATAACTACAATGTGTATTACAGTTTTGGGCTTCTTTCATTTTATGTACCATTTGTGTTTTCTTTGTTGAAATTGACTTTGGATTTATTATTATTTATACTTTGTAATTTCATATTATGTGTATACAGTTACTTATTTTCTTATCAATTCAATGAACAATGTTTGTATCTACCTACAATTGATATTCAAATAGAATGTTGTTGGTTTTTTGCCTTTTGTTTGTTTGTTTGTTCATTTGATTGATTGTTTAACAATTAAATCTCATTTATTCACTCAGTTTTTACGTAGTATCAATGTGTAGGTTTAACTTGAATTGTTCAGTTGTTACTTTGTGGGGCCCGTTATTTTGTTGTCAATTTAGATCGGACGATGTTTGTCAAAAGGGCTCTTCATTTTAGTAGCCCGAGATCTGACTCCATGTATATCGCATGAATGGTTGTTATTGTATTGTATATGTCGCCTATCCTCGTATGTCTTTATTGACTTAATCCACTTTAGTCAATAACGGAATTAAATAAGTCAAATAACGAGAATGGACTTTTGAATACATATATTTAGTGTGTGAAGTGAATGGAACAGCGAGAAGCAAAACGACGCGCAGTGGAGATGGTGGGTAAGCCAACTCCCCTTTGGCCAAGCGTTAATCAATATTTATAGTTACACAAAAGTAAGTTACAGACATGTGTTGAGTAATGGGATAAGAAGTGTACACACACCTACGTGCTCGTATAAGCACAGTCAAGATTGATAAGCGAACAATTAACAAGGTCAGAATGTGACTCAAGTAGAATGAATAGAATGGGCTGTCCGAAAGCTAGAATAAGGTGTATGGGCTCAACATAATTGCAGACACTACTTACGCCTCTTACTCCTAATGGAGCATAGGCCGCCGACCAGCATTCTCTAAACCACTCTGTCCTGGAACTTTTTTTCTAGTTCCATCCAATTCTTGTTCAGTTGTACAAATTGAAATTGGTTAGGTCAGAATTCGAATCTACGATTTAATGATTGAATACCTTAATGCACTTACAATATCCTAAAGAGTAGATGATGACTTAATTTTTTTGATCAATCGATGGTACTACTTTACTTTATGCTACAGTTTACTGATACTGATTTGATAAGTATTTCATGTTGATCGATAATTTCTTTGGAAATAAAAAAAAGCACTCAAAATAGTTTACTTGATAATGTTAAATATGGCGAGATTATAATTTATAGACGAACCAATCAGGTATAAGATAACACGTCTCGAATTTTGTTGCGAAATTCATCTATCCATTTGGCTAAATACAGTTTTGACATTATAGTTGATGTTGGTTGGTGACGAAAACCCGAAATCTAATTCCTAAGTTTAATCATCAACTGCGTATAAGAAAAAAAGAACAATCCAGGAGATTGGATCGATGGGCAGAACACTTTAGGAATCAGTTCAACTGGCCTTCAGCCACACTTCGGTTTCCCACGATCCCCAGTCAACCTGAATGGCAAGTTAATGTAGGTCCTCCGACTCTTTATAAAGTTGAAAAAGCTATAGGAAATCTGAAGCAAGGGAGAGCAGCAGGCTCTGACGGAGATTTTTAAGGATGATGGTCCAGTATTAGCAGTGAGATTAACTGAGGTCTTAGGTAGAATCTGGGAACTGGACGTAATTCCATCTGACTGGTCTCAATCACTGATTGTGCCAGTCGATAAGAAAGGACAAAAGTATCCTTGTGACAATCACATAGGAATCAGATTGACTAATATAGTGTCTAAAATATTAGCTTCAATAATACTTCGACGTCTAACTAAAGCTCGTGAAGAGAAAACCAGACTGCTTTCAACCTGGACGTGGTTGCATAGACCAGATATTCGCATTACGTCCAGTCCTAGAACATAGACACACATTCAGACGTCCCACAATGGTATTATTTCTCGACCTAAAGGCGGCATTTGACTCTGTTGATCGTGAGATTCTATGGCAGTGTTTGTCACTGAAAGGAGTACCAAAGAAGTACATCAACCTTATAAAGGCGACCACTTTAAGCAACAATGCAAGCATGCTCGGGTTGAGATTCTCTCCCTCAAAATGCAAAATGTTGCTTCATGATTGGATTGCATCGACACCCGAACTAGTGATATGGAGTGCGTGTCGACCGCTTCACTTATCTCGGAAGTCTCATCAGCCCTTGTTGTCTGGTGTGTGAAGAAATCTCAGCATGGATACAAAAGGCTCGACTAGCTTTTGCCAACTTGCGTCATTTGTGGCGTAGGCGAGATATCCGTCTATATACCAAAGGACGTGTTTACTGCGCAGCAGTTCGTTCCGTCCTACTTTATGGCAGTGAAATATGACCGATAAGAGTAGAGGATATTCGTAGGTTACTAGTATTTGATCATAAGTGTCTTCGAAACATTGCTCGTATATCTTGGGACCATCGAGTAAGTAACGCAGTTGTTAGAAAACAGGTAAGGATAAGTAGTAAGTAGTGAAACTTTATCAGTCGAGATGGGTCGGACACATGTTACTTATGCTCAACCACCGACTGCCTCGACGTGCGGTGTTCTATGAAGTAGAAGTAGGTTGGAAGAAAGCTAGGGTCGGCCAGACCAAAACATGGCACAAATCCATGAAGTCACTGACAAGTGAACTGAGTCATGTTGATAAATGTAGACTATTGACAGATAATTCCCATTTAAACATTAAAATTAAAACACGAAGTTCGTTGAAAAGAGATCCCTTCGCTGAACTTCGTGTTTTAATTTTAAATGTAGACTACTTGGTTGGGGTCTGCGAGATGATAGCAACCGATAGTTAGAAACCTTGAATGACATGGCTGAAAATCGTTTGCAAAGGCGCAGGTGCACCTACTCTTTGTGTCCTCCCAAATTCTAATCTGAATTCTTCATGTCCCTTTCTTTTTTTCTCTTTCCAATTTTATTTCACTGGATTACACTCCTTGAATAACGTCCTCAAACTCTAATTCTTCCTATTACTGCTTATAGTTTTACTGTCTCTACCACTATGGGATCTCTGTGCCAATGTGGTATGGTAACTCGAACTGATGTACGTACGTACGAAGTTTTACGTTGTTACTGACTGACTAGTAAGCACATGCTGATTAGTATGAGAAGGAGTTTTCTGTGAATATCATAGTAATTTTAATAGTTGAGATCATGAGTCAATTGAAGGTGGACCACAATGGTGAACGGTGGCACACTTTCGTGGATTTGCTGAAGTTAGTGATTTAGAGGTTAAGCGTTCGTGCACGAGACCGATAAGTCCTGAGTTCGAATAACGCGAGATAGGATCGTGGATGCGCACTGCCGAGGAGTTTCACAATAGGATCAAACGGCCGTCCAATGTTCCCACTATATATATCGTATGAAAAACAGTCTATTTGTTACTAGTCCGATTTATGTACAGATTGTGTTAAGTTATCCATTAAAATTTGAAAGAAAACATACACAAATATTTGCAAATGAAATAGGTTTATTTTTAAAATTAATAAACCAAATATTTCAAGTTACATTAAAAAAACAACAACAACAACATAAAACTAACCAATTTGTTTCTCTCTATGGATTTATAGTATTTCAATCTGTTGGCTAAAATATACAAATAGAAAAGTTACATATAAAAATACGATTGAATAAGTTTGATTTGCTAATGGAAAAGAAGAATAACACATTCTGGGAAAAATATGGTTGTTATGAATTACCTCTTTTAAAACTTAGAATATGTTAGAATAAGACCAACAAGGAAAATATCAACTGCCACTATGAAGCATTCTTCATACAACTCTGTTATGAGCAATTCTTTTCATGCCTGCTTCCAATTCTCGACGCAGTGTATTCTTTAGTTTTCCTCATTTTCGTTTCCCTTCAGGATTCTAAGTTAGCGCCTATCTTGTGATACACTTTGATGATTTCCGAAATGTATGTCCTATCTACTTTGAGCATCTTTTCCTAATTTCCTCTTCAGCTGGAATCTGGTTTGTCCTCTACCACAGAAGACTGTTGCTGATGGTATCCGACCACCGGATATTCAGTATCTTACGTAGACAATTGTTTATAAATATTTGTACTCTTTTGATGATGGTTGTGGTAGTTCTCGAAGTTTCAGCTCCATACAGTAGAACTGTCTTGACGTTCGTATTGAAGATTGTGACTTTGATATTGGTTGAAAGTTGTTTTGAGTTCCATATCTTGTTCAACTGTAGGTATGCTGCACTTGCTTTTCCAATCCTTGCCATTACGTCTGCAACCGATCCTTCACGTTCATCGATGGTGCTACCTAGATACGTGAAACTTTTCACCTCTTCTAGAGTTTCTCCATCAAGTACGATTTAACAAACTAGTGCCCTGTAAATATTTATAAATTTGTCATAAATGAATCTAAATTAGTAAGCATTGGAATATCTATTCTTTAAGTATTCTGTCGATAGGTGAATCAATATTTAAAAATATAACGAAATCTAACCGATGAATTTGGTATTCGTTTGTAGTGTAGATAAGAAGATAAAATCACTTTCTGATATCTGGTCACAACAGCTTATACAATAAAAGATAAGTAATCTAGAATAGAGATAATGAAGTAGGAAAACAAACGATGATAATATAATAATGGGAGAGAATTGACTCTAAACACAAACAATCCAAAGTAATTTTATTTGTATGCTCAAACTAGGTGTATTACTGAATCATCCAGAGTTAAGAATGTGTTATTGAAATGTTGAATAATGAAATGTTATATTCTAGCGAAGATCAAACTATGGGTAACATCTGAGAGCTATTAATGGACTAATATTATACATATATTATGGTTGTATAACTGTTAAGTAGCTAAATTATGAATATTTATATCTCTCTTATTATGAGGTTAGACATTAACATAATTGGAAGCACTGGACAGCCGTTTCATCCTATTGTGGGACTCCTCAATAGTGCGTAGTCGCGACCCCGCTCGCGGGATCTGAGGCCATGGTCTTCGGTCTCGTGTGCAAACGTTTAACCTCTAGACCACTGAGCCGACATTCAACGGTGACCGTGACCAGTGGAGCTAATCCATGTCAGATAGCGACAAGTATCTACCTCAGTACAATGGAAGATGGTCGCACAATTTCATGGATTAGTTGAGTTTAGACATTAAAACCGTTGATTGTCGTCCCAGTGGTCTACAGGTCAAGCGTTCGCGCGTGAGACCAAAGGTCCTGGGCTCGAGATCCGCATGA